AAAGAACCATCGTTTAATGTTGTTTGGAATGACACGGATCAAACCCCGGACCTTCCGCTCTCCGGGCGGACGCTCTACCACTAGACCACGTTGGCGGACCGTGTGATAAGAAGAGTGAAATAGTTCATACATATTTATTTTTTTAGCCCTGGAAAGATAACACGTTTTGTTTTGTTTACTCCTATATATGCGTAATTAGAAAAGGTTTTGATGAGAAATACCGATACACGGGACAAACGTAGATTATCACTGTGAGCATGTGACGACACTCAAAAAGCAGAGCACAGTATTCGTTACACCATTCAACAACCCGAGCAGACATAAAGTAAATCTCAATCAACCAGGACAGACCTGAAATACATCTCATTCAACCAGGACAGGCCTGAAGTACATCTCATTCAACCAGGACAGGCCTGAAGTACATCTCATTCAACCAGGACAGGCCTGATGTACATCTCATTCAACCAGGATATACCTAAAGTACATCTCATTCAACCAGGACAGACCTCAATTGCATCTCATTCAACCAGGACAGGCAAGAAGTAAATCTCATTCAACCAGGATATACATAAAGTACATCTCACTCAACCAGGACAGGCCTGAATTACATCTCATTCAACCAGGACAGGCCAGAAGTACATCTCATTCAACCAGGACAGACCTGAAGTACATCTCATTCAACCAGGACAGGCCTGAAGTACATCTCATTCAACCAGGATATACCTAAAGTACATCTCACTCAACCAGGACAGGCCTGAAGTACATCTCATTCAACCAGGACAGGCCTGAAGTACATCTCATTCAACCAGGACAGACCTGAAGTACATCCCATTCAACCAGGACAGGCCTGAAGTACATCTCATTCAACCAGGACAGGCCTGAAGTACATCTCATTCAACCAGGACAGACCTGAAGTACATCCCATTCAACCAGGACAGGCCTGAAGTACATCTCATTCAAACAGGATATACCTAAAGTACATCTCATTCAAACAGGACAGACCTGAAGTACATCTCATTCAACAAGGACAGACCTGAAGTACATCTCATTCAACCAGGACAGACCTCAAGTGCATCTTATTCTTCAGGACAGACCTGAAGTACATCTTATTGAACCAAGACAGACCTGAAGAACATATCATTCAACCAGGACAGACCTCAAGTGCATCTTATTCTTCAGGACAGACCTGAAGTACATCTCATTCAACCAGAACAGGCCTGAAGTACATCTCATTCAACCAGGACAGGCCTGAAGTACATCTCATTCAACCAGGACAGGCCTGAAGTACATCTCATTCAACCAGGATATACCTTAAGTACATCTCATTCAACCAGGACAGACCTGAAGTACATCTCATTCAACCAGGACAGGCCAGAAGTACATCTCATTCAACCAGGACAGACCTGAAGTACATCTCATTCAACCAGGACAGACCTCAATTGCATCTTATTCTTCAGGACAGACCTGAAGTAAATCTCATTCAACTGGACAGACCTGAAGTACATATCATTCAACCAGGACAGACTGAAATACATCTCATTAAACCAGGACAGACCTCAAGTGCATCATATTCTTCAGGACAGACCTGAAGTACATCTCATTCAACCAGGACATACCTAAAGTACATCTCATTCAACCAGGACAGACCTGAAGTACATCTCATTCAACCAGGACAGACCTCAATTGCATCTTGTTCTTCAGGACAGACCTGAAGTACATCACATTCAACAGGACAGACCTGAAGTACATATCATTCAACCAGGACAGACCTCAAGTGCATCTTATTCTTCAGGACAGACCTGAAGTACATCTCATTGAACCAAGACAGACCTGAAGAACATATCATTCAACCAGGACAGACCTCAAGTGCATCTTATTCTTCAGGACAGACCTGAAGTACATCTCATACAACCAGGACTGGCCTGAAGAACATATCATTGAACCAGGACAGGCCTGAAGTACATCTCATTCAACCAGGACAGGCCTGAAGCACATCCCATTCAACCAGGACAGACTTAAAGTACATCTCACTCAACCAGGGCGGAACTACTAACGGGATCGGGTTGTCAGGCCGACTGGTTGATGCATCGTATCCCAATTGCATGGATCGATGCTCATGATGTCAGTCACTGGATTGTCTGGTCAAGACTCGATTATTTACAGACCGCCGTCATATAGCTGGACTATTGCTGAGTGCGGCGTTAAACAACAAACAAACAAACAGACATAAAGTACATCTCATTCAACAGGCAGACCTGAAGCAGATCGCACACAACAGCCAGAACAGACATACAGTACATTTCATTCAACATCCAGGGTAGAACTCATTCTTCCAGTCGGACAAAAGACTGGAGACTCTGTGTATGTGAAGAAGTGCTTTTGAGAGCCCTCTACACGATCAGATAGGAAAGAAGCCACTTATTGAGTGTCCCCACCATACAGCAGTCGCGATGTACAACTGATACAATGTACACAGCTTGTCATCAAGACTAAGGCTATTAGATGGATTCGCAAATCGAAACAAATCATTTCAAGTCAACTGTATTTTACCTTGACAACGTTATTTACAGTTCTAATGATTTATTGGCAGACGTCAAAACGCACAATGCTAATGTGGTTTATCACATGAGATGATTCCACTGAAGACAAGCCCCGAGGTGCACCGACAGTTGGTCGTTTTACTCTGTGAGGGATTGTAAGGTTTGCTATGGAAGTGTCGTGTTTGGAGATGTCACAGCTGGCCTGGCCTAAGTGACCATATAAACACACAAGGACAGGATCGATTGTAACATTGACAATGTCAGATTTGTTTGTTGTTTGGACAATAGTATATTGGCATCTGATTATCATTTCACAATCAGTCCAGCATCCACATCTTGCTACACGGGATTGGCGTGATGAATGTATTCACAGGGTTGAATGACTCCTCTTGTCTCAGGAGCAACAACATGTTAAATAGTTTAATATTCAACTTGAAATAAGTAGGAGTTTTATATAGAGGTAATCGTGGTAAATATGGCCACGTGGAAATGTCAAGCATGTCTCTGTCGCTGTGGCTGCAGAAGGCTGCCGGTCACAATTTGTTCTACACAACTATTAGTGGCTGTGATAGTAGGACACAGTACGCTTAATTTGACTGAACTTTCTCTCCAGTCGGGATTTCCATATTATCCTCAGCTGGTGGCATTTATAAGTTTAACTGGAATAATGGCGGGGCAATGTTTAACTGGAACAATGGCGGGGCAATGTTTAACTGGAACAATGACGGGGCAATGTTTAACTGGAACAATGGCGGGGTAATGTTTAACTGGAACAATGGCGGGGTAATGTTTAACTGGAATAATGGCGGGGCAATGTTTAACTGGAACAATGGCGGGGCAATGTTTAACTGGAACAATGACGGGGCAATGTTTATCTGGAACAATGGCGGGGTAATGTTTAACTGGAACAATGGCGGGGTAATGTTTAACTGGAACAATGGCGGGGTAATGTTTAACTGGAATAATGGCGGGGTAATGTTTAACTGGCGCAATGATAGATACTGGAATTAAAGTTAGAGCCAGCTTCCTAAAGACGTGTCTGCAGAAAGTAAGTTGAGTTAAGTCTTGTATGCAGACGGTATATCAAGTCAGAGACAATTCAATGCGGCCATGTTAAAAGATGTAATGTTAACAGTCAGTATAATGCCGTCATGTTTGAAGACGTAGCATACATTTTGAGAGCTAGTTTACTGCCGATCGTAGGCATAATAATTTAAGAGTGCAAGTATTCTTCTGATAGGCAGTTTTATGGACGAAGTTGACGCTCCAGTATGTCATATGGAATAGAGATAAAACGTGTGCGTCAAATAATATATTTAATCAGAGTGTATGTTACTAAAATACAAACAACATACACGCCATCATGACTAGCCTCATGTAGGCCCATGTTTAATATCCCAGACAAAGTCAAACACGACTACCATCTGTATGTCCATGTATTATACCCCAGACAAACTCAAACACGATTAGCCTTCTGTATGTCCATGTATTATACCACACACAAACTCAAACACGACTAGCCTCAAGTTTGTCCATGTATTATACCCCACACAAAGTAAAACAAGACTAGCCTTCTGTATGTCCATGTATTATACCACACACAAAGTCAAACACGACTAGCCTCAAGTATGTCCATGTATTTATACCCCAGTCAAAGTCAAACATGACTAGCCTTATATATGTCCATGTTTTCTACCCCAGACAACGTCAAACCCGACTAGCCTTGTGAATGTCCATGTATTATACCCTAGACAAAGTCAAACACGACTAGCCTTCCGTATATCCATGTATTATATCCCAGACAAACACGACTAACCTCATGTAGTTTCTTGTTTGATATCCCAGACAAAGTCAAACAAGACTAGCCTCCTGTAGGCTCTTGTTTCATATCCCAGACAAAGTCAAACAAGACTAGCCTCATGTATGTTCATGTATTATATCCAAGACAAAGTCAAACAAGACTAGCCTCTTTTAGGCTCTTGTTTCATATCCCAGACAAAGTCAAACAAGACTAGCCTCATGTATGTTCATGTATTATATCCCAGAAAAAGTCAAACACGACAAGGCTCATGTATGTTCATGTATTATATCCCAGAAAAAGTCAAACAAGACTAGCCTCATGTATGTTCATGTATTATATCCAAGAAAAAATCAAACACGACAAGGCTCATGTATGTTCATGTATTATATCCCAGAAAAAGTCAAACAAGACTAGCCTCATGTATGTTCATGTATTATATCCAAGAAAAAATCAAACACGACAAGGCTCATGTATGGTCATGTATTATATCCCAGAAAAAGTCAAACACGACAAGGCTCATGGTTCATATTCCTGTAACAGACACAACATACACAAACTAGCCTGTATCCGGTACAAAGACGCGAAAGGGCGTGATGTGAGCCCGACTAGTCTGTGTATCTCCTGTACTAACCCTGGAAAATGAAGTAATAAATACTCACGTAAGATATCATCGGTAAATTGAATGCCGCCGCTATTCTGCCCTCGTGGACACATGTTTCCTGTGGGCCCAGATACACAGAGATATTCCTCTCCCGTAATAACACAGTTTCCTTGATACTCTGTTGTTCCTCTCCATGTGTCTCGGCGATAACATAATCCAGGGTATAGTTAGGAAGAATTGACGAGTCGTTGTTCACTTCCTCAATGGCATAAGTTAAAGCTCCCGAAATTAAATGGCCGGGTCGTTTGTACAGTACTAGCGGTTTCTGCGGGGGTTCGGACCCAGTAACGTAGCCAATCTTGATGATGTTTTTGGCGTCCACAGGTAGTATTCCAATTGTCAGGTTGACACACAATAGGAGCGGGGCCACGTGGGGGAGGCAGAACCTCCAAGCCCTGGTCCGTCGGTGTGGTAGCATCCCTGTGACTGCAAGGACTGTCGACCAAGTGGGAGTTGGCCAACTGAGCGAGAGTCTACCCAGGCGAACTCCGCTGGTACGGCCTCCGACGCCGATCGATGCTACAGCCAGTGCTCTATGAAGACTATGAAGGGAGTGCTCGCTTCCTCCAGTTGAACATGTTGGGAGGGAGAGAGCCGCCCTCCCAGCATACGTTATGTCACATCATCAGACAGGCTCTCGTGGTTTTATACTTGTTATGTTGTCATTCAATTGTTATAACACCACTTGACAGTGACAAAACATGCTTCTTGTCATGGCATTGATGACAGAGCAAGGTGACGGCCAGCCGGATTCGAACTGAATTCAAGGTGTCACGGGGACGTAAAATATATTCTGTGGAATTAACAATTAAATATTTACAAACATCCAAATTAATATTTTATTAATAATATGGGTATATGTGTTATATTCAACATGGCATTCTATTCTTGAAAGGTACGCATGATTTGGTAGTTCTCGTTAAATACAAACAGATAGACACACGCAATCCTTCTCGGTCGAGGTTGTTTCGTCAGTTAATTACAGTAGTATTGAAAATCGTTTTAAGTATGGTTATTAACACAATGCTACTACGGTGCTGAGGTTCTGTGAATATTGGCTTGTACGTTAAATACGTTAGTGTACTCAGATCCCTGGTGCCTAATTGTTGAAATGACGTGTTAGTCAAGGACCGTATCAACGGTGTCACTTCAGTTCAATTCCATTTCCAAACTCAACGCGTAGAGAGAGCGACGCTGGTAAACACATGAGTGTTGTCCTCGTCACTTGAAATAGAACCATGAAGTAACGCGATGTTTACTTGATGAACATAGCTGCATGTGTGCTGATACTTATAAAGTGAAAACAAGCAATTCCGCCGATAAGGAGTATCACTTACAGTAATGACACAAATTGTAGAGTGCGCGTTTCTAGAAATATCCATCGTGCAAGCGATAAAAATCATCATTGAGTTTTGATCACCTGGTTACAATCCGATACGGATGCAGTTTTCAGCGTGTTTCATCCCAGAAAGATAGTTCCCCGCCATCACCTGTTGGGCTGTGTTCAGTGTTATCTGGTGTTTCTGGTTGCCAGATTCAGGATACGGGAAGAGTTGTAACATAAACCGCCTCCACTGAGAACATGGCGCGTGTATGTTTTGATCGGGTGCATCCATCCATCCATCCACCCATCATCCATTCATTCATCCATCATCCATCCATCATCCATCCATCCATCCATCCATTCACTCATCATCCATTCATTCATCCATCATCCATCCATCATCCATCTATCCATCATCAATCCATCATTCATCCATCATCCATCATCCATCCATCCATCCATCATCCATCAATCATCCATTCATTCATCCATCCATCATCCATCCATCCATCATCAATCCATCATCCGTCCAACCCTCCAGCCATGCATCTACCAGCCAACCAGCCATCATCCACCCATCCATCCATCCGCCCGTCCGTCCGTCCGTCGGTCCTTCCATTTGTCATCCGTCCATCCATATATCCAATCTGCGTTTATTGATACAGGACCCGTGAAGATTCCGGGGTAGAACAGGTCTTCAGCAACCCATACTTGCCGTAAAAGGCGACTATGCTTGTCGTAAAAGGCGACTAACGGGATCGGGTTGTCAGGCTCGTTGACTTGGTTGATACATGTCATCGATCCCAATTCCGTGGATCGATACTCATGCTGTCAATCACTGGAATGTTTGGTCCAGACCCGATTATTTACAGACCTCCTTCATATAGCTGGAATATTGCTGAGTGCGGCGTTAAACAACAAACAAACAAACAAATGATTGATACAGGGATAGTTGATGGTATAGAACGACGACCCTGTCTGTGACAGAGTCCCTCAAAGACGCCAGAACAACAACATCAGTATTTGTAATGCCCTCTGAAGTGTCAGGAACGTAATTTTTTTTAAAAAGATCTTCACATTTCAAGTTTCTGTCATTAAGAGTGCACATAAATTAAGAATAGATTACCCTCGCTGTTCCTTCAATCTTATTTATTGACCTTCATGCAAGGCTAAACTATTTTGTTATTGAAAATGACAAAACAATTCGCAATATCTAACAGTTTGAAAAAGCCCATTCTAACTGATCTCTCCATAGTTAGACAAAGGTCAGAGTGTAATTGAAAACTATTCAAGAAGCCCAAACTATGCTCAGCTGTGATGCAAGGGAAGTACGTTCCCTCTGTGTTTCACGCTGATGGTTTGGATAAACTTGAACACTTTAACATGGGCCTTTTATGAGCTTACAAAGCCCTGATCAAGAAAAGATCTAGAGTACATGTTTCTATATGTTTCTGATTCATTCATTCATTCATTCATTCATTCATTCATTCATTCATTCATTCATTCATTCATTCATTCATTCATTCATTCATTCATTCATTCATCCTTCCATCCATCCATCCATCCATTATTTATTTCATTCATTCATTCATTCATTGTTATCAACTATTTAATTGTTATTTCAAGAGATTTTCTTCAATGACGCCTTTGCTGATGATAAAGGCGCCATGGTCCAAAACGTATTTGGTGTTTACCCGTTTACATGACGATCGCGTTGGGGAGTTTAAGTATGACACAGCGATTGAGCATGACATAGATTCTGAGCATGATGTACAGTCTTAGCGTGAATATCTCTGTGTCATGCTAAGTAGTCATGCCATCGAGTCTTGCCAGTACAGAAATGCATACTCGCTGTTGCCCCGTAACTGAGCATCCTGCGCCCAGTCTACATCAGTGGCTGGGCATCCATCCCCCATCATCCGCCCGTCTAGACACTCAGGTGTGGGGAGGGTTCGAGAACAGGTAAAACACCCATCACATTGTGATTAGGCCGACTTGCTTCCGCAGGAAGAGCAGTAGTCTGTCATATAGACCCTGATACAAATATATCCAATACAACCCATGGAGGTCTATAATGTTTGGCAAGTCTAGATTACTGCAGTATCAGAACAGTCTCTGGGCTCCTTTTTATTATATTTTTATTAAGATAATTTAACAGCTGTTTATTTCTGTAAGATATGTTCATTTCAGAGGCTAGATGTTAGTCTAGAAGAGCAGCTACTGACGCATTTACAAAATATCTTCAAAGACCCACGCACAAATCCTGTAGTTGCGATAACCTGGGAATCACCGAAGGTTCATTCTTGCTATTGACACTTCTTCTGGACACTGGTCTTCTTCTGTTTTCATAATAGATTCTTTATCTTGATTTATGTGATGTAAAGTGTGAAAAAGGGATATCTAGATCTATGCATATGGATTCAGAGCGACAAAACAAGACTGTATGACAAGAGGGGTGACTTCAACTTTCCAATAGTCAACTTTACTGAGGTATGATTTAGCATGCTCTTTCTACCAGGAAGTTATCTTATCTGCTCCATTAGTGGGCGGTAGACTGATACCCCTGGACTGACACTAGACGGTAGATTAATGCCTAATATACACAGCGGTCTAGTCACGAATCTGTCTTAACGAAGACAACTCTTAGCGACTTACGAAAAACATTACGAATGCCAAGAACTATTTTTGAAGCTGCCTTAAATATATCACACCGTTATCTTCCTTTCATCATAAACCTTATCCGATACAGTGAGTGAGTTCCTTTGTGATATAGGTCAAATAGACTGCTGTTTTCTGATGACGTCAGCGATTCAGGGAATTCCCCAGATGAAAATTCGAAATTTGATAGACAGACAGACAGACAGACAGATACCATTATGATAGGATAAAGCTACTTGTACATGTTTTCTGAGCATATGAAACATAAAAGGGCTAAACAATTCTTGAAGAAAGCTCGCGAGTTGATGAGTGCATTATATCAGTATGGTCACAGCTCGGAAGAGATAGATTGCATGCATTGAGCAACACATTGAGAAAAGATATAATGATATAATGATAATGCATTTTATAATTGCAATCTCATTAAAAGCAGATCCTTTACTCCGATATGACGCCTCTCTGCGTCAAGGTCTGAGGGCGCCAATGTTGCAGGTCGAGTCATTTGAGGAAGCGTGGGTTCGAAGGCCAGTTTGACGTCAGACGTCAGATGTCAGAGGTCAGCTGTCTAAAGCGGCTTCATTTCTTCAACACCACGATTCTAAAATTCCGGTTTAAATAAAAGAAACCCTATACAGAAAACAAACTTTTTTAGGAAGGAACTTGTCTTGCATTCATGGTTCATACAGTAGACCCATACTGCCGAATCGTCTTCCTCAACATTCTATTAGATGTCCGCCGTCTTGTCTGTCGTAAACTCGACCCTCTGTTAGGTTTTGTCGTAAACCAGGGACCATATGGTCTCTGCGTAAACTTACAGCTAAGATAGCTCCGAGAACAGACTTAGCTGATATGCACCTAGTCCAGTACTAGACAGTAGACTGATGCACCTGATCCAGCAGTAGACGGTAGACTGATGCACCTAATCCATTACCAGACAGTCGACTGATACACCTGTATATATGTACACCGGCTTCTGGTGACGGACACTATGTAATCACCACCCATTACAAAATTGTATCGTGCTCGTTCCCTGTTTTATGGTTCTGTGTTTGTTGCCTAAAGTGCATTTGTATGTAAACCATTTCAAAGTCGCTAAAAACTAAGTTTATTTCTGGTTCTGTGGAGAGAGCGCGCAAATACACCTGTTCCACATATCTGTTCCCGACTCTCTGAGTGCATAAAAATGGACTCCCATAGCTGAGTACATCTGGGATGTGTCCCGTCTGTTGATTGTGGCTCCTGATGTCTACCCTGCTTCTGTAACAAGGTACCACACAAGAGGGCCATGATTCATTCGAAACATTGTTACCGTGAAGAACTGCATTATTATAAAGAATTTAATTGACTGGAGTCCTCGATTCACTTCTGTTCCATGTGTCTGTTCCTAGTTACATTTTATGAACAGAAATATATAAGTCAATGATAAAATGACTGTATTCTTTCTCTCATTGAACAAATAACTTGACCATGACGAACTTTGAAATCAGTTCATTTGTCTTTCGGTGTACCCTCTCGTTCTTTCTATTGAAGTCTACATACAAGGTTGAACAGGCATCCGGCAATGATTCCATTATGACGAATTCCCACTGAT